TGGGAAACACAACAAGTTTGGATCTTCCTTCCCTTTAGAGGATCTCTGCACTTACATTTCCTCTGCCAGCTTTTCAAGGATACTGGATTCAGCCGGGCTGAAGTACCAGCTCTATGAGCTCCCTTCCTATATGGACATAACAAGCTGCTTTATTGAAGGGAACAAGGATGGGGAACTGTTGCTGGATTTTCTGACTGAAACACTTGAGTTTTCTAAAACTGCTCTTCCTTCCCTTTAGAGGATCTCTGCACTTACATTTCCTCTGCCAGCTTTTCAAGGATACTGGATTCAGCCGGGCTGAAGTACCAGCTCTATGAGCTCCCTTCCTATATGGACATAACAAGCTGCTTTATTGAAGGGAACAAGGATGGGGAACTGTTGCTGGATTTTCTGACTGAAACACTTGAGTTTTCTAAAACTGCTCCTCCTGAACTGAAGCGCCAGATAATAGAAGAGCTAAGAAAGCCTGGATGCAGTGAAAACAGAGATGGGAAGGTGCTTTTCCATAACAACCTGAGTGTAATAGTGATTGAACCATGAGTTAACCTCTTCTTGCTTCTTGATCCAAAGCAAAAAGTCAGATACAAACTGTTATGTTTTTTACATACTTCACAAATGGCTTAATTTACTTCAGCACTGATATGTAATTTTTTGGAGCTTGTTAAGAAATTAGTATTAATATCTGATGTTATAAGCAAGCTTTAATATCTTATAAATTCTACACTAATCTATAAATGTGTAACACAGCAGTTGTTATTGTTATTGTATGGATGTTGTATAAGCAGACATTAGCTGAACCATCCACTCAGGCACTGCAGGGACCTAACCATGTCCTAAAAAATAATCCAAAACTACATATGGTTGCATCATCTTCATTTAAAAGCTCTCTACAAATAAGCAAATTACAACTTCTTAGTGCAGCTGGCAGGAGTGGAGACTCAAAATGACTGACCATTGGGTAGGTCCTTGATGGGATTTCTGGAGCTTGTGTCTCAAAGTTCTCATACCTCCAGTTACTGTGAAAGTGGGCTCACACCTGTATGTTCTACGGTTTCCTGCTCCTCCCTCCACAGCCAACTCCATTCAGTTGCTCTGCTTCCCTTTTCCTGTAATTTTCCTTGATGATGATGTATCTGCAGAGCAATTTGTGTGCCAGGTGAACACAGGCACTGCAAGGGGAAAGCAATGGAAGAAGGTTGAGGCACAGTGGTGGTAATGACTGTCCTGGAGAAGTGGATTTCAGTGGTAAGCCCTAATGCAAAGCCTTTGCTAGGAATCAGCTACTGCAGTCACACAGGGCTTTTTGGTATTTTTAATTACCCACAGAAACATTCTGGTCACAGCCTTTCCCTATCTTGGAAGTGAGGGACCTGTGAACTTTGTAAGAAGTAAAATGTAAGAATAAACTCTGATTCCAAACTGACCAGTTCCAGTAGCATTTCTTTCATTTTCAATGGTGTTATGTCAGGTTCAGCTGTAGGGTATTCAGCAAGAAGGGGTTTCACCTCCTTGGTCCCTTCTCCATGTGAGGCTGTTGTGGTTGATGCATTTGTTTTGCTAAATGATTTTACAGTTTGAAGAACTGTTTTGCTTTCTCCGAGCCAAAATGCATCATGGGATACAATATAGACACTTGAATGGATTTAATAGTCTGAATACTCAATTTATCCCGTGAGACAGGTGTGATTTCTGCCATTGAAATAATTTGATTCAGTGTTGAATGGTTTACTTTAGATAATACTTTAGCTGCAAGAAATTGTTTTATTTTTGCACACACATTTCTGATACAATATAGATTATTAGCAATTCAAAGTGATTGCAAGAATTCATATTTGGCATTAATAGCTGTTTATATTCATTTTAGGGCAAATTATTTGTAACACAAACTTCTCCTAGTGCTAAAACATTAATTCCAGTGCATTTAAGAATGTTTCCATGATCTTTTTCAACACTTGAACAGAACAAGATCTTTTAACACTTTGACACAGTTCTATGCACAGACTCTGCATTAGAAGGGCTCAATATATCTGTAAGCTGCTGTGGTCACATGCCAAAGTAGGAAAGAAACTCTCTCTTTAGGACAGATTGCTGCAAGCATTTCTAATGGGAAACAAATTAAAGTTACAATTATTTTCCTAGCTCTTTTGTGCTGTCAGTGACCTTTTCTAAATGGTGCTTGCAGAGGAGGTGACTGCTGAATATTGCCACATCAACTCTGTCGGGAGTGAGATATCTTTGGGAGCCACAGAAACACTAGAATAAAAACAACCCCTCCCAAATCCAACAACAAACCCCAGCAATAAGATGCACATGCAGGTTCTGTTGTTTTCTTGTTTCAAAGACTTAAAAACAAAACAAAACAAAGTAAGTGTGTCATGAAAATGTTGGAGAGAGCAGGAAAGACAAGGAGCAGAAGAGGAGGATATGACCACACACATACACACACAAAGATATTCAATGTGAATACAAGAGAGAGCTCCTTCCCTTCTTTTGCTTCTGAGGAGAATTCCTTTAAAAACTAGGTGGGGGAAGTACAGTAAAATCCATTCTGTATATGCAGCTGCTTCTGTGAAGGGGCTGAGGGAAAACTGAACCAGCAGAGCACCCTTGAGGGATAAATTATTTTAAATTTGTAACACACTTACACATTTCCAAGAAGTAAGTACTGTAAGTAGAATTGGGGCAGCATAATTATATGCTCATTTTACCATAGAAACTGAAGGACATTTTGTAAATATCTCAAAGAGCTTCCTATATGGAGTGAAGAACCATATTTTCCTGTGAGAATTGGCCTCAGTTGTGCAGTGAGATACTGCTATTCCACAGCACGTTTGGTGAGTAAGGTCTGTCCGTGGATTGGGATTTACATGGCAATTTTGAGCCTACCTGTGTGCTTTCTGCACCAAACTGATTGTTTCTCTCTCAGAAAGACTACCTTATCTCATCCAGCAGAAATTTCTTCCAAAAGCAAATCTCCAGACCAGCCTTGGTTTTTGCAACCCCCTGGGTGGATGTGTGGGCAAACAGGATGTGTCTTCATAGAAACATGGAATCATAAAATGGTTTGGGTCAGAAGGGATCTTAAGGATCATCCATTCCCAACCCCTGCCACGGGCAGGGACACCTTCCACTAGACCAGGTTGCTCAGAGTCCCATCCAGCCTGGCCTGGAACACTTCCAGGGACAGGACACCCACAGCTTCTCTGGGCAACCTGTGCCAGTGCCTCACCACCCTCACAGTGAAGAATTTCTTCCTGATATCTACTCTAAACCTGCCCTCTGTCAGTTTGAAGCCATTACCCTTGTCCTATCACTACATGCTGCTGTAAAAAGGACAAACCCCAACCCCATATTTTTCTTGCTTGCACCCCCAGAAAATTAATTTATTTGCTTTATATGGAGGTTCATTGAGAGCAATGGTCTTAAACCAGCATAACAGTGACAGAAACAGATTGGGATTGAGGATACCTGTATTAAAAATATTCCAAAAATTACCCTGAAAGTTCTTCATGCATGGATACCCCTTTCTGGCTCAATATATGTTTCAGATATGAAATGTGACTCTGGGTAAATGCAATCCTTAACACTGCATCTATGTTTCTCTAAGAAGGCTCTGAACAGTGTTTGTTTTGAAATTAGGAGACATCCTTTTTTCTTTTGATTTCACAGGCACATAAACCTGGAATACACAGATTTTAATACGACAGGAGAAAAAACCTGGAAGGAGGGAGGAGGAAGACTTTGAAACAGCAGACAAAGAGCCAGGCCTGTGTCCCTCTGATAAGTAAGTGTGAGCTCGTGGCTTTGATGCTGTGTCAGGTGATTGTTTCCCGAAGTAATTCCCGTGGGAGATAGACTGTGCAGGGAAGGGAATAGCCCAATGTCCACGGATGAGACTAATGGCATTGGAGCGATGCCACACGGGAAGGCTGGGACAGAGCCACAGTGGGGGAGGAAAAGGCTGTCCCACTCCAGAGGAGTCTGCTGTCCATGTATATATCCCTCTGCACCAAACACATCTGCCTGAGCAACTTCAGGGCTGTTACTTTAAATCATACCTAGAAAAATATTCTCACTGCTCCGTTAATTACAACAGCAAATTGAACAAATGCACTCGCAGCTCGGCGGTTGTCGCCGTTCCTGTGCCGGTGTAATTCATGCTTGCAGCCCATGATAGGATTTTTAATGTCATTACACAGTAGGGCAAAGTCTTCATTTTTAATAAAAATACAAATGCTAAAATGAAATGGATTAATATCTAATTTTACATCTTCATTTACATGATGTGCAAAATTATCTTAAATATTTGTTATGGATGGAGTGGCTTTCCACCAATTTAGCCTTTTTTTTTTTCCATACTGGAGAATGTTAACAGAAATTGTAGCATAAATCATTGCCTTGTAGAGTACCAGAAGGCGCATATAAAAACCCATATCTTTACTGCACATATTTCCCATTAACCATAATCTATTAGTAATTGAAGTTCATTACAAATTCTTGTAGACTTTATTGCTATCATGCTGCATGACATAGTGAACCTGGCTTGCATAACAAGAAGTCCTTGCTGGGAAATATCCTATTAACAATGACAGTGCATTTGTCATTGTGATAATAAATCCAAAGCTGCCTGTAGATTATAAATTATTGCGGCGCCATTTCCACTGTTGTAGCTTAAAAGTTTTGTCAGCACTTCCATTTTAGCCCTGCTTTACGGGTAGTTATAACCTGACCATAAAAATCTGCAGTGAGCTGAATCCCAGCTTACAAGATCTCAGTCTGAGACTGCGTTTCTTCCCCCAGTGAGATTCATCTTTCATCCACATGAAAATCTTTGAGGCAGAAGCTGTGTTTATGACAGATTTTCTTCTGCATTTGCATAGCTTTTAATTGGAAAACCCAGGCCATTTGACAAGTAATTTGTCCATAATATATCTAAAGATTGTGGTAAAATCTGAAAATTCATCAAGACAAAAAGATGGGAGCTAGGCTGAGCTGAGTGTTCGCTGGCTTAGCACCTGAAAAAGCCCCAGTCCTTATCTCCAGGTGCCACAGGCTTTGAGGAGGCATTGGGCAAACCTTGCTTTGCTTCAAAGGAGAAGCTGAAGAGAAATGATGCTCCCCATATGCCTCACAAAGGTGTTTTGAGGATTAATTGCTAACGCTGGAATTCTGGCATCCACTCAAGTCATCCTTCATCATGTCTATGCAATTCTTCCAGCTCTATATAGGTTTTAAGTGTTATTAAAGGAAAATTGCCACAGAGTTGAACTTTAAGTGTTAATTATGATTCGAGATATAAATGACATCAGGTCAAATCTTTCACAATTTAACTCCGTAATTGACTTCAGCTCCCTACACCAAGGGATATCTATCTAGCTGAATGCATCTGTCTATCACATTTCTCAAGTGCCTATAGCAATGCATCCAATTAGCTGGACGTAACCATCATGCCTCAATGGCTCCTAAATAGTGTAGGACGAAGCCTTCGTCTCCCTGAAATCACCAGGAAAATTTTACCTCACCAGCAAGGCCAGGTTTTC